ATAAGAACTGAGTAGTTGTGGCAGAAATCCTATGGCTTTACAGAAAAAGTTTGCTGCCCTTGATTTGGCATATTCCAAGTTGCAGCAATTAAGACAGTACAGTACTGGTGCAGAAGAGACAATTACAAAAGGACAGTTCAGAAACAGACCCACACTTGATTTAGGATAGCAGTGTCACTGTGGGGCAGTAAAAGAAGGAGTGATTCTTTTAATAAGTGGTGCTGAGTGAACTAGATATCCACAGGGGGAGGAACCCTGACCCCCCACCAGATGCAAAAACAAACAACAAAACAGCCAATGAATTCTAGAAAGACTAAACTCTAAATCTGAAAGGAAAACAAAACTTCTATAAGATAATACAGTAGAATATCTTCATATCCTTGGGATAAGCAAAAATTTCTTAAACAGGATACAAAAGTACTATCAATAAATGAAAATGTAGTAATTTGTACTCCATTAAAATCAAGAACTTAAGTTCCTCACGACTCCATTAACTGAGTAAAAAAAAAAGTGCAAGTCACAGAGTAAAGACATCTATCAAATACGTAACCCACAAAGGCATTGTATCTAGAAAAGAGACACATAGTGAAGAGCATATTCAAATGGCCAATAAACTTTTTTAAAAGTTGCAAAACCCATAAGTAATCATAAAAATGAAAATTAAAGCCACAGGGTGAGATATCACTAAAATGAAAGTGACTGATAACAGCAAGAGTTTGCAAAGAAGTGGAATAACTAGAACTCTCAGACATGGATGGTATGAATGTAAACTGGTACAACCATTTTAGAAAACTGTTTGGCAATATCTCCTGAAGCTAAATATATACATTTTGTTTGACTCAGCAATTCTGCTCCTAGAAATGCCTACACACACACACATACACACACACACACAATAAAAATATATAAAAGAATGTCCAAAGCACATTTGCAGCAATCAAAACAGGAAATATGCAAATGTCAATGAATGGTAGAATGAGTAAATATATTAGAATAAAGTGATATGATGGAATACTATACAGCAAAGAAAAAGAACAAAGTGAAAAAGCATGGGAGAATCTCAAATAAAATTTGAGTAAAAAAAGTGAGTGAAAGAATACATTTTGCAGCACTTCATTTTTATTAAGTTTAAAAGCAAGAAAAATCAACTGATGGTGATAAACATCAGTTGTTACCATTGGGACTAGGGGGCAGTAAGAGAGGTGTTGAGTGCTGGTACCATTCTCTTTCTGATTGGAAGGTGGTAAAACAAGTATGTACAACTGAGCAAATTCATCAAGATATACACTTAATGATTTATGCATTCTTCTGTATGTTATGTTCTACTTCAATAAAGTACAGTTTAAAAAATCAAGAGTAAAAAAAAAATCACTGGCATATAAAACTGGCTAAAAACTCAAAGATTTAGAATACTTTTTCTCCACTCACGTGGAATGGCAAGTTTTTAAGTAGAATTTCGCACTTATACTGATACACTGTTATGCACCTGTTTATGTCTTAAAACACAAATAACAGGTATCAAAATAAGAAAACATGGTGAGAACTAGAATACTGGACATATTTTCCCCTCAAAGAAAATAGGATAATGTAATAAACTGGGTATCAAAGCAACAAAGCCGGCCTAATCAAGATCTGTTCATTGTGGCAAACACAGGGAGTGACTCAGACATGAGAATGTGTAAATGTAAACGAGGCCTCAGAGAACACAGGGCAAGGCTTCCCTGAAATGTGACACTGAGACGCTCCATCTGATTTCTGTTTAGTGTGTATCAGAATCAGCATTAGTGGGAGCATGAACACAGCTGGCTTGTTGACAAACACTGGTGCTTACCAAGATTAGTCCTAGAAGCCCTGCTTCGAACAAGCTCTTATGTGGAAACCTAATAGGTAAACAGATAAAGCATGTAACTGCTTTCCTCTGGACGAAATGCAAGGCCAGGAGACAGGGAATCTGAGGCCACTCGCCAGCCTTCCCTACATGGGAAGCCGCCCACTGGCCCGCTGTATAGTGCAAAAACAAGGCTCACCCCGTGGCCACAGCTGACCGTGCTAATCTGAGGGTAAGAAGGCAGCCCTTCTTCTCTTGCCACTCCAGGCTTCCCCTCCCAAACAGGCACACTCACGTAGACAACCTTCTGAAATCCAAAAGGATCATTTTTGGGTGAAGGATTTACAGGGAGCTGAGGAAGTCACTGGAGGTAAGAGTGCCACCTCATGCATCTCAGACAGCCCCGTACGGACACAGCCAGGGCACAGAGTTTATCTAATATTGTGGGTTTATGAGACCAAGATTGACTAAGTAGGTCCTCTCTTCTGCCCAACTCCATCTTTTAAAAAATTTCTTTAACCCCATTGTGAGTTTCCTGGAAAACCTATTTCTTTGTTGGCTTCTTCTAAATGTACCTGCTCACAAAACACTCCTTAGGCTGCCACAGCCCCATAGGATTTTGTTTATATGGGCAAAAGCCTGTTGTACACAGCATTCACCTCCAATGAACAACTCTACCATGCCTTATGAAATATGTAAAGTCAGCTATTATTTTGCAATTTGATGGTCATTTGGAGATGTTCTTTGTACTACACATATCTCTTTCAGTCTAATCCTAAATAGAGATTAATAGCTCAGAAAAGCCCAGGCTACATTTTATGACACCCACAGGGTGAGGACCCCATCAGCTCATCGTAAAAGGAAACAGGACATACTCTGTTTGCGTCTTGTGACATAGGCAGATTCTGAGACTACCTGCAGAAGGCAGGGTCCTGGGAGACGGGTGTTAAGTTCTTCTACAACAGTCAGTGCAACTGATGATGTAATCATAATTCTAGCTCCTTGGAAGCCCCCATTTCTTACTAACTCTTACGTCTTCAGAGATGGGACAGTGTGCAACACAGTAAGCAAATTACTGGCTACCTGGCCAGTGATTAAACTGCACCTTAAAAGTAAAGGGCTTCCCAAATAAAAAAAAAAATCCCCCTGCGTTCTCTCAGGGTATTTCTTTTAGTACTATTATTTTGATAAAGACCTTTGTTTTCCTCATAGGCAGATCTTCTAATCCTTATACAGTCCTGTAAGGTAGGTTATTACCTTGAGTCTAGAGATAAGGAAAGTAAGACTCAGGATGCGGAAATGACTTGTCCATCAACAAACAGCTGGTAAGAAGCAGAAACAGCCCACAGGCCACTGTTTCCTCTACTGTTCGCAGATGACGCCCATCTCCCACACCCTGGGGCTGTCCTGTTCTTTCCTTCTTATCACACTAACACACACACCCCTCCCAGCACTGGCCAGAGTCTCGTTTCCTTCCTGCCCAGGGACAGTGGTGTGGCCAGTGCCACCCACAGCACCCGACACTTCTTGCCCATAAAGGCTAGACTGGTCAGAGTCCAGGAAAACGTCTGAAGACTGTCCCTCAGTCCCCCTCTAGCGTGCTGCAGACAGGAGGAAGACGAGCAAGAGCACATGTGTGCTGAGCTCATGCAAACCTGTAGGCTGGCTCCCCTTGTCCAACCCAAGGAAATGCCACCATAACCTTCTCATCAAACTGACTCCCATAAATCAATACCACCATGAGCTAGCGGCTCATTCATTACTTGACCATTTTAACAGGGACATTTTTATGGGTGTTCCACTGAAAAGTTGTGGTTACAGTGAGGCTAAGAGGAATTAGGTGATGGAAAAGGAATAAACTAACAATTATTCCAGGGATTTTTAAATATTAAATAACCCTAACCAAGTGTTAACGGAAAGCATCTGAGCTTCCAGGTTATATGATACTAACCAGGCAAATATATGTGTTTTGCTTCTGCCCTGGGTGATCTAGCCTTAAATAACTGTCATGGCAAATGGACGTCGAGAAACGGGTAGGGGAAAGAAATGACTACTAGAATAAATCTACCACACTGCCTTAGCTATACTTCATGTAGTTCTTATCTTCATTTCTGATAACAGGGAAATAAAGAAAGGACAATTAGCTTGGCTCAGAGACAAAAATGGCAGAGCTGGAAGGAGCTAAGTCTCTTCCAAGTCCAGAACTACTCCAGAATAGATGGTGCCCTATTACATCATCTGTATTTCCTCGGTCTGTACATTTCTCCCAAGTCAGACAAGCTCAAGAGGTCTGAATGATTTGGAAACAATGAACAAAGACACTTAGAATGTGCGCATTAGCCATTTCCCCTGAATGAGCAATCTGTATGTTCCAAAGGGCTCCAAAATTTCTCACGGCAGCACTGTCTACACGAGGTTTACATGCACAGACCACATATGCTGGATGCCGCACAGTCCAAGGGAAACATGGTACCTTTAGTCCAACAGATCTTCAGTAGCCCGTTGATTTTTCAAAAAGAACTTACCACTGCCCTGCCACGCCTTCATTTTCCCTTTCTTCTAATACTTAAAAGACTTCAGGGTTTTCTGCAGCTTTGCAACTGATCCCCATGAAGACAGCTCTGCCTTTCCAAATAAAGGCAGCAATGGCAGCGGAGCAGGCCCTGCCATCCCAGCTATGGGGGAACGTGTCACTTAGAAGAACAAGTTCCTCATGCACTGCTCTGAACTACCATCTCGTGTTGTGCCTCTGGACACATGCTACTCCACGAGGGTGCAAAGGGCTGGGAACATGAGTCCCATGAGTCCCTTCTTCCGTAGGGACTTCACTCACTTCTTCACTCTACCCATGGAAAGCACTACTGATGGTGAAGGGAATGAACTAGACAGTCAAGCCCTGTCTACACTCTACAACCCTGTGACAGAGTCCTCAAGCTACGTCCTTCCTGATAGTTAAACTGGAGTACCAGGACTGCTAAGCCAGAAACTCATTTTTTTCAAGAAGGGAGACATTTTTTCAGGAACTAGAGCCTCCAAATACTGAGATATCTTTGTTAAAAGGGACATGCCTAACTCCCTAAAAGCATTTCCATACACTTCATTCCTGGAAAAAAAATAAATAAAATGCTCACACAAGTCCACACTTACTCAGGTATGCATACATGCCCCTTACCAAAAGTCACTTCTCCTTTGCCAGCTTTGTCAAACAGCTGAAAGGCCACCATGAACAAAGCATCCGGGGCACACAGGACAGATTCAAATGCAACAAATTCTTGAAAGGATATTAATCTGCAACACAAAACAAGCACAAAGCATAAAGTCAGTAGCTTGTGGAAGATAAAGGCATACACAAATATACACAAAGGGAAAAAAATAAAATGTCACTGTCAAAAAAGTAAAATTAAAACTAAAAGCATGTACAAACACTTAGCATTTCTTTTCACATATAGTGGACTGAAATAACACACAGAATCTAACAGACATGACAGATTTGAGGACATGGTGACATGTTAAATGCATTACAATTTCAGATGTACTGTTTTATCCAACATACTACTTTTGTTTCAGGGATATTGTTAGATTGTAGAATTAAAGGTTACATACTTTTGATTAATACACGATTGTTAACAGCAAAACAGACCAGCTCTGTCATTCACTAATATCCTTTCTACACCATATCAATGTCAGAAAGGTTCACAAAGATTCATTCATTACTGATATCTACTGGCCACGTGAGGACTGAAATAAAGAATGATACTGGGGGTGGTAGACAGGACGCAGATAAATTAGACATGAAACGTGACCCCAAGGAACTTCTCGTCTGGTAACATGAGCCTAAAATACTACACAGGAAAGACAAATAGTAAGACAGGGATCAATAGTGATAATAGAATTTTGGTAGGAAATCAAAGAATGGTCTGTGGCCGAAATGGAATGTGAACTGGGTCTTGAAAAATTAGTGAAATTCAGGTATGCAGTAATGTGCACAGAGGAGGGGTCACTTTAGGCAGGGGGAAATGCCTACAGAAATGCCAAGAAAGCTGGGGAGTGTACATGGAAAATGGTGAGGAACTGACTTTGGACAGTAAAATGCATCAGAGAACACTGGGAGGTTGAGAGATGGGCCTGAAGACAAGGAAAGGACTTGATCTGTCTTCTCTAGGAAGCAAGGAGTGATGGATAGCTTCTGAGCAAGGTCGTGACATGATCCCGACTACCTAATAGGAAGAACACAACAGGCCACAGATGCTTTGACTTCCAAGGAGTAAATAAATCCACAAAGGCAGTCCTAGAAATGTTCTTTGCCATTATTTTGTCTTTCAAAAGTCCAAACGTTCCTATGATTCGTTGAGATAGCCCAGGTCTCTGGGGGATACACGGGGAGGAAGAAAACTGGAGTGTTTTCCTATGTTTCACAGAACAATTACTTCTAAACATCTTATAGAAAGAACACATTTTTATACAAAGAGTTACAAAGTTAACTAAGCTATTTCCCAGAATGTCACTTGATTTTAATAACGCCACCAAGAAAGGAAAACTGATGGTGTGTTCATTACACTGTCTCTATGTCACTCACCATCCAAAAACACATCCTTCCGAATGAATGCAGGGGGACATTCAGAAGCAGCGTGTGTCACAGAAACACACTTGCCCAGAACATTTTCTCCTCTACTGTATTGTCTGTCTCACTGAGAATCTTTGTGCAAGTAAGAGCAGGGGAGGGTGGGGATGGCAAGGGAAGCACTTCTGAGTTCCTGGCTGACCTAAAGGGGCTGACTACTTGCTGGGGGAAAGGAAGGTAGTCACGGGCACGTGTCCCCACCAGAACGCAAGCACGAGGTGCCAAAAGTCAAAGAAGAAATACAGCATTTCAGGGCCCAGGGGTAGGGATTTGTTCAGCCTGGAAGAGTTAAGGAATGCTTCGTGGGGGTGTGGCATTTAAAGAACAAATTTTAAAGCTGAAAAGATCTGAGTGAGCATCTACTTCAGTTTCCTCATTTTAATTTTGAGAAAACCAGAAGTTAGGACTTGTGCAAGGTGAAAACTGGCTTCTGGCATTTGGGCCTGAAAACCAGGTATCCTGGTTCCCATTTGCTGGAGACAGAATTCCTGTTGGTGTGGGAGGAGGGAGAGAAGGGAGAAGGGCAGGGAGAGGGTGATCCAAACTGTGGACAGAACAAAGTACAGACATGATGACCAGCGGGGCGTGCTGTGTCAGAGAAGGACAAGGCGTTACCGACCCTGCACCTAATGGTCCCACGGAGTAAAAGAGTGGATGAGCTGTAATGCCAGTCACCTGAGAAGGACCTTCAAGGCCAAGTTACAGAATCCTGCCTTTTTTTTTTTTGCAGCCAATGAGAAGTCACTGAAGACTTTAGGGTTAATAAATATCAGGTTCAGGTCTTTGCTTTAGAAATGGAACTGGTGTGGCAGATGAATTTAATCCAAGAAAGACAGATGGGGGAGAACAGCCTGACAGCTAGAGACAGCAGGAGTCTAACCAGAGCTGGAGCACTAGGATTGGACAGAGGAAAGGCTGGAGAAACACAGCTGGGGCAGGAATGACAAAACTTGAGAGCCACTGGATGTCAGAGGCTGAGGGCCAGGGAAGAAGCCAAGTTACTTCCAAGACTTTTAACTTGGATAACGAGTGGGATGATGATATCACCAACAAAGACAAAGACTGAAAAAGGAAAAAGAAGGGACTTCTGAGAGAGCAAGACCAATTCTGACCGTGCTAAATTGGAGGTACCCGTGGGCACTGAAGTATGGTGCCTGGCAGGAAACCAAAAGGACTAGTGTGGAACTCAGGAGCAGCTGGTATGAATTGAACTGTGTCTCCCCAAAAAAATTCACGCTGAAGTCCTAAACTCAGAGTATTTTACTTGGAAATAGCACTGTTGTGAGTGTAATCAGTTAAGATGAAGTCCTACTGGAGTACGGCAGGCAGCCAACCCAGTGTCACTAGAGTTCTGGTGAAAGGGGGAAATCTGCACCCAGACACACACAAGAAGAATGCCACGTGATGATGAAGGCAGAGATCAGAGTGATGCTTCTATAAACCAAGGAACCCCAGACTGCCAGCAAACCCCCCAAAGCTAGGGAGGAGGCATGGGACAGATTCTTCTTCACAGACCTCAGCAGGAACTAACCTTGCTGACACCTGGATCTTAGCCTGCACAACTGTGAGAACACAAATGTCTTTTCTTTCCTTGTTTTCTTTTTAAAGCCACCCAGTTTGTGGTATTTTGTTATGTCAGCCCTGGTAAATGAATACAGAAGCCAAGACTGGAAACACAGATCAATGATTTTTTTAAACAAAGACTAAAGGTCGGAATGACATTGCCCAGAAGCATTTTACCAAGGGATGCATGCTCACCCAGCTCAGCCCACTGAGGAGCACCACAGAGCAGAAGTGTGGTGTGTGTGTGTGTGTGTTGCATGTTTAAATCTGTATCAATTTTTTTAAATTGAAGTATACTCAGTTACAATGTGTTGATTTCTGAAATGCGTTTCTTACTGTCTGCTTTCTTCTCACCACTGCCTCACTCCAGGGACCGCCTTGGGGCAGACACCAACCACCCACAGCCACACACTCATCTCATCAATGGCAGTTTAACAAGGAGGAAAACAATCCTATGTGCTAAACTAACCCTGCACAGACAGTAGGTGAGTTAAAGGCAGATCACACAGTGTGCTATGTAGAAATGGGACATCTTTTAAATTTAATGATCTGAATAAAAAAAGGCTTAAACACCAGTAAAAGAGAATCTCACCTGTCTAGAGAATAGTATGAGAAACCCGAAGACTATCTATCTGGGTGAACAAATCCTCCCCTGGCAACATCAACGTGGTTTCATGACCGTAACTGGCCAATGAATGCGTTGGTATTTTAGGCATGTTACAGATATCAAAAAGGTATGTAATTTGGTAATCCTGTTAGATACAGTGTTATACATCTATGTAGGAGGTACAGAGACGAACCATGAGATCATAATGTTTTACTGTTCATCAAGATCATTCTGGATTTTCAACATAATCTAACTAGAAGGCTATCAGAATAATTACACAGCACTATATTCATTTACAGCATGATATCTAAAAACATTTATCTTTCTATCTATATTTTTTTTATATAAACAGTACTCCAGTCTTGCCTTTCAGATTTAATGGGTGTTAGCATAAGCTACAACAAAGACTACAAGCTCCATCAAGTTCAGACCTGGCTGGCAAGCTCACTTAGCTCCTTTTCCACCCCCAACTTCCCAAACATCTTTGATGATGTTAGATGTCCTCTAAAATAAGTCATACGCCTCTGATGAACTCTCTGACTAGTATCTAAGGGAACAGTCACAGTTTGACATTAATTTTCAACAGCTAACACAGAAGTCACATTTTCACAGGCCTCCACCACAAGATTAGGGGAGAGCAGGTTTCCAACTACTCTATTTCATGATTCTGACGTGAACAGAGATTTTTTTTAAGCAAGCCATTTCTGTTTTCCAAACCACCAGAGCTACTGTTCTTCTGAAAGCCATTTATAACAGCAGCAGCATGACAAGTCCCTTAAAGGCTAGGTAAAGCAGCTGGAGCACTACACACTGCACCACATACTGAGAGCCAAGGAGGAGAGGGGTTAAAAGCGGAGCGCCTCTGTCCATTGTGCCTAGGACGGTGTAAGATTACGTATCTCCTACAGACATAGGAAGATGCTAGAAGGATACGTACCAACACGATGGCAGTGCTTCTTTAAGGTAGCAAGCCTTAGGCCTCCTCTCCCCACCCCTCTGCCCTTCTCAGCTTTGCAAGGGACAGCTCTTAGCCTGGAGATACTTCAAATATAAATATAACAGGGAATATAGACTGAAAATTATGATATTATGGAAAAAGTTTTAAGCAATAATCAGAGAACTGGAGATAAATTACCCCATGAATTCAGAGGAAGGAAAAAGTATTGTTATATTGAGAAAGGAAGAGACGGGGAAAGTCAGTGAAATTAGGAACACACCATGTCAGACAGGAAGACAGGACCAAGTGGTCACATACCAGCTGTCCTGCAGCAGAGGGAAGGTGATCGAGTGGAGATGGGGTGGGGGCGGAAGGCATCAACTTCCATGGGGCTTCTGCGCTACTCTACGGGCTGGGCACGGGCCAGCACTAAGCGTGTGCAGATGATAAGTACGATTTCTGCTCCCCAAGAACTGGAGGTCTGAGGGGGCAGACGGCGAGCCAGGAACCAAGGAAGGAGGGTTGGAGACGAAGAGCCACAGGAAGCGCACGTGTGCTGG